ACTAGTTGAAGATTCTCAAAATGTTATCTACTACTTACAGGCATGTGGATAACGTAACAGCGTCAAAATAAACCTAATCTTTCCGGGTGTTACCGTTTTATTTTCTGTTTCGGCATATATAAGCGTTTGCAATTAGACGCATTTGAAGGACAGAATGGCGAAATTTTAGGGGGTATATTCTGAGGCGAAACATTTTATTCCCCTCCATAAATGATGATAAATGCATGAAAAACGTGTTAAGATTCAAGAGGCATTTTGAGTCTCGCGTGACTTTCATATGTCAATTTTTATGCAACCACGAACTTATTTGCATCGACTTGCATATATTTACATTCGCCGAGCGAATACTAAGCACATGTAAATAAATTCAATTTTGGAGCCATTGAATAAGAGCATATCCCTTTTCTAATATGGTGTACAGCATAGTCATACAAGTGATATAAATTGTATGTAAATTTTACAAAAAATATATATGTAAATTAAAAAAAAAGTATTACCTGAATTATGAATAAGCACATATACATAAGCATATCTATACATGTAATAACTTACATAAATAACCAACAAACCAACACGTACACCAACAAAACTATCTTTTATTCGCAACATTCTTTCTCACACACACACACACACACACACACACACACACAGATATATATATATATATATATATATATATATATATATATATATAAGTTGGCGCTGAACATCGACAGTCTTTTTCATGCTTGAACGCAATCTTCACGCTATGTGTGTTGACTATTGATATATGCTGGTCAAAGTTTATTATGGGTAGCAAGGTCTATTGTATTATTCTAACGGTTATTGGCTAGGCAGTAACGACCATATTTCAAATTGTGCATCCGACTGAGGCTACGTGTACCTATTTCATAATGTTTGTTAATATTTTACTCATTATTATTATTGATTAGTTAATTATTTGTTTTTGATTACTATTATTAAATTTACTTGTGTTTATCCGCGCAATCGTAATTTCTTAATTCGTTTATTACTTACTCGATTTATTTATATATATTCTTTACTTTTTTTTATCTTATTAGTTTAGTTTTACGTATTGGTTTTGTCTAAAGTATATTATATTATCAGCGTTGTATATAGTGCATATATTTTCATTTTACATGGGGATATTTGGCAAAGTATTCGTTTTTAGTATTCGATTTTTATGTAATGCAGTATAAATTTGTTTTCGTGTTTGCTTTTTTGAGATAATTCTGATCATTTATTTTAGAATTTGTGTTGGCCTGGGGAAGTAATCATTGTTATATTCTCCTCAAGACAGAATTTACAGTATTTGGATTTATTGTTGTAGGCTAATTCCTGTTTGAATAAAAATGTGAAAATTTCTTTTCATTTCAACCTTTGGAAATAAAGTCTGATGATCCATTCAGAGCCCTTTAAAAGGGCTGCGATGAAATAATTTATTACATGGAACCTTAAAGTGGTCTGTTTTTTATTCAAACATATTTGCTCTGAATTTACATTGAGCTCTCCGGATATCATCCTCCTTGGGTCTACCCATACGGATTACCTAGTTTTGCATAAACTAACTAACTAACTAACTAACTATATATATATATATATATATATATATATATATATATAACGTAGGTATGCAGTAAATTCTAGTGCTCGAAATAATAATTATTATTCATCAATCTTTTTTCCGGAACGCATATCATATAAATGCACAAGAATGTTAACAACAAATACTTTTTTCACACCCAACCCAGTTCTTCGGAATCAGAATCAACGTTGAGTTTAAGCAAGCGACTGAGCTAATTGGAGTAAAGTGCCATGAAAATTTAAATTTTTCCCACTTGTGACGAATGCAGCTATCGATTTTTTTTGCATGCTAGTTAACATTCGTGTCAGTCAGCTGTTGGCTCTCACGCTGGCCAATAGAATCTTCCTGCCTATTCGTGGCAGTTAGTTATAGGCTCTCACTCTGGCCAGTAGAAAATGGCCACAAACTACATGAAAACTGTCGTAGAAGCATGAAAAAAATCGATTATTTCCACTATCGATGGGAGTTGGGAAATGCAAAGTCGGTCTTGGCCTTTCCGCTACCTTGGAGCATGTGCATGTAAATTTTGGTGCAAATCAGTCGAAAATTGCGGCCGTGAAGTCGTTACATACACACCTTCTGCCTTTTATAGATAGAGATATATATATATATATATATATATATATATATATATATATATATATATATATATATGTACGTTCCCGTAATATAAGCATTTGCGCGTATGTTTATGCATTAATATGTTTTTCTACATTTCCGGATCCTGCATAGATGCTCGTGTATGTGGATTCGTTCCTATTCGTAACACACACACACACACACACACACACACACACACACACACACACACACACACACACACACACACACAGCATTTGCCTTTTATAGATATGTTTATGCAATATATATATATATTTATATATATATATATATACGTATATTGACGTTCCTGCAATATAAGCATTTGTGCGTATGTTTATACATTAATATGTTTTTGGATTTCCGGATCCCATAGATTCGTACACACACACACACACACACACACACACACACACACACACACACACACACACACACACACACATGCATGTGTCCGTATCCGAATATGTTTTTATGTGTTCGATTAATGCATTCAAATTTAGCAGATAAAATATATTTTCTTTATATTTTATTTCTAATATTTCATACTGAAATCCCAAGAAATATATATATATATACGGTCTTTGTTTTGAGAATCCATTTTCACCTCTTTAACAATACACAAATAATGATATCGACAAATACAATGTATTTCTCACGTTTATTAAAGATTTTCTGCATATTCATCAGGGCTGAGGTTGCTTAGGAGTTAAGCTAAAGAAAATTGATAGTAATTTTACTGAGTATGTATAATACTGCACAAATAAATTATATCAGACAAGAAAGCAATATATAGACATCACGTCAGAATGGACAATGGTCATAACAACAATTGTTCGAGTAGAGTCTACAATGGTAACATAATTATATCAAAAGAGATTATTCATTTACCAACCAACTCTGCCTGTAAGGAAGAAGTTCAGGGTTGTAAGAAGAAACATGAATTGACTGTTAAATTAACGTTTTTTTTCTTCTCCATGAGAACCATTATTTTTATACGGCCTTAAGGGAAGCTGTCTAATGGAGGTTTTAAACTTTCCTCACCAACTTCGGTTTCGCGATCTCAGAAACATCTTGCATTCGTGGCATACTGGTTAGCAAGCTAGTTTCTCTAAATCAATTACAAACCGTCACTGAGTGCTCCGTGCTTTCTGCCTTGTGCCACAAATAAGCTACGCTTACTAAAATTGCCCCTATAAGCACTTAGACGTGGTGTAATGGTTAGAAATCTTGACTCACTAGATTAGTTACAACTGAATAATGAGTTGGATTCTCACTGAGTGCCTCATCCATTCGACCTTGTTCCACATCTAAGCTACGCTTAGAAAACAATAACTAATTAGACGTTTTCATTAAATGCAAGAATGTTGCATACATGAAAAATATATATATATATATATATATATATATATATATATATATATATATATATATATATATATATATAAAGCAGTACTATAAAAAATATTTTTAGTAGGTACCTATGTTTGAGTAGACGAGCCGTTTATTTTAAACTGTATGTAATTCGTCTACCGGCCGGAATAATCAAGAGATCTTATTAAAGAAAATAAATATACTGTTTAAAATAAACGTGGCATCTACTCAAATACGGCTATCTACTAAGAATAAGATTTAAAGTGATACAAATTTGTCGGGTTAATAAATAGAAGAAATCCATTACTTCTTTACAAATTGTTTTGTTTACGTTTAGATATGAAACTGTAAAGATATGGGGATCTTGGATGAAAAGGGTTTGTTCTTAAAGCATTGTGGGGCCTGTTGATTTGGGGGATGTTTTGTTTAAAGGTTATAGAATTTAAGTTACACCGGTTGTGGTTTTAGGCTTAGGTAGACATAGAATATTCAGTTTATAAAAGTTGTTAATAAATAAAGTCTGTTATGCGGGTTTTTATGGCTGGCAAAATATGTATCACTTTTTCAAAGTATTTCATTTGTAAGGAATTATATCCTCTTCTAATTTACAAAATCAGAGTTATGGCTTGTTTTGTTTCTGTGTATTACGCGCAGGTTTAAACGGTTTTCCCAACGTCGGTGCTTCGTATGTTTGTAGAATCTGGGTTTTTAGATTTGAGAATTTAGAGGAAAGCATGCTCAGAAATTGAACTGGAAAGTCTTACAATGAACTAAGGAATATTTGATACAAAATCAGAAGACGAATTGGAAAAGTAAAAGATGCCGTTCAAAAACTAAACGACGTATAGAGAAACAAGAAATGTTCGTTAGATACAAACTGAGACTTGAGACTGGGGTGATGGCGTTCTACAGAAGGGTGCATTGAGGGACAGAACATGTGAGCCATGAAGAAATTTTAATTAAAATGGGAGGAAAGAGGACGCATGTATTTACAATCAGAAAGAATTTCTGGGATATATAATGAGGAAAGATAGTTAGAGAAATTGACACTCACAAGACCTATTGAAGTTAACAGAGGTAGATGGAGATATCAAGTGACCCAGTAAAGTAACTTGTGTATAGTATAACAAGAAAAGTTAGTAAGAGGGGAAATATTGCTTAGAATTACCAAGTATGAGAAATTATGGAGAGTCTTGTCGCCCAAGTACTGAAAGGAGACATAATATACAAGAAAAATAAGAATAAAAATAAAATACCTGAGGATTAAAAAAAAAAAAATACCTGTCGTGATTAAACTCAAATTCTGTTTTTGTACATTTTGCAAACCATTCCTGAAACATGCTTGCACCTACTACACCATGTCTACAAATGTCAGTTAAGTTTCTGCTGTATATTTTTCTAAGGTTAAGCTAAAATGTAAATAGGATTTATGCCAACATCACGTTGAAACACAGGTTCCCGTACGATACCCGAAATTAAGCAACGTTGAGACTGGTAACTACTAAAATGGGTGACCTCTTAGGAACAACAGGGGCTATAAGTTCAGACGTGTGGGTAGTGTAATGGATAATGGCTCGGAATTGTTAATTTCAAGCGGTAACCCATCTACTTACCGACTAGATTCGACGTTGCTTAACTTCGGCAATCGTACGGTGTTTCAACGTGAGGTGGCTTGAACAATGGGATATTGTTAAGAAGTCATCTACTTCATAAATCGATCATAGGCCTCATAATCGGAACGCTAAGGTTATAACCAATCAGCCACGCGTATAGCCTACAAAACATAGAATAAACTTTTGGAAAAATCATCTTAAAAAATAGCTTAATCCGTTGGGTATAGGCCAAGACAAAAATAACCGTTCCATTTTAAAGAATATTTTAAAAGCTTTCTTCATAAATGATTATCGTCCTCTTAAAATTCCTCAGACGATATAATATCACTAAACAATGACTCTTTCAAGAAATTTACTTCATCTTTGTTCTCTATGTCGACTATATGATCGCTGTATTCTCTATTCTTACTCAGATATCCGTTGAATTTGGGAAGTTTACAGAAACTTTAAATAGAATTCTGTATTTTGATCCCAGAGGAAATTTTTCTATTATTTTTCTTAATCTGTCAATTCTGTTGTCCTTCCAAGGGAATTTCGAAACTAGTAACCGACTACTTTTTTTTTAAATCCAGTATATAAAATTGAAAAGATCTATTCTCTGCCCTCCGCCTGCTCCTATGGTTTATTTGATTCAAGCATCATTTTGTTGCAGTAATTGTATTCCCATCATCCTTCTAGTCAACCAATAATCGCAATAATCAATAGCAAATATATCAGTAAAGAATTAAAACATTCAACAGCAAAACTGTCAACCAGTCATTATCAATTTGCTTTACTTCATGTAAATAATAATAAAGATCGGCTGAAAAATGAACTGTGAACTAAGGATTATCTCCTAAGAATAATTAATCAATGTCTTATAAGCTTACGCATAGAATATTACTACGACATTTGTTTCGGCGCTTCTGCCATGTTTTTAGACATAAAAACTGAAGAAACTGCAACGTTATTGGTCCTGACTTGTCATGTCAGCTTCTAGACTGACTTGCGAATGCTATTTAGATTTGTACATTTTATTGCAATTCTAATGTTGTGATTGATTGAACCATGCTCTCAAATATAAGAAAGCATCTAACTTGTTTTCGATTGTCACATTTTAGTGTTATAATACCTCTTGCTTCATTAAAAGACATGTGTTATGTATTAATCTATTTTATATGGATCCCATCTTCTGTTTCAGCAGATTCCAATCTGAGAAGAAATAGATCTGCTGGTTAGAGAATATTGAATACAAAAGATAGATCCTCAAAAAAAAAAAAAAAAAAAAAAACATAACGGAATATCGAAATGTCTATAATGCAAGAAGAGAAAACATAAATAATTTTCAATGATTTTGGCTGTAAATTTTGATAACGACGAAAAATGTGCTATTTGGCAAAAGAAATAACTTAAAAATATGTAAAACATTTTTTTCTCAAAATCAATACATAATATGGTTATATTGAATCTAAGGATGCTTTTTCTTGTCACCTAAATTCTGATAAGTTGTCTTTTCCTCGTTGTCGAATCTGCAAGTCCCATTTATATGGAGTTCCTTTTAAGTGGGATATTCACTATATGTGGTTAATTTTTATTCACTTCGTCTGACATCGACGCGAAAGTGCACATTATGCAGATTACACTGTGTTTCGTGGATTTTATTGTCTGCAGAAATTAAAAATGACTCCATTTTTTTCTCAATTCTCAAACTTATCAGATCATTATCAACATGGTGAGCCCCAAAATTCTTTTTATATTTATAAGTGTGATTCGAAATAGGCTTTTATTCTTCAAATTAGATCATTTTAGCAGAATTGTGCTAAGTGAATTGTCGCTATGGTGTGCCCCTGCTATAAACACATGAAAACATAAATTGGATAATTACAATAAAAATAATTTTTTTAACCACTGATTTTTCATAGAATATTAAAACCAGAAATTAAACATTTCGATTGTTACTATACAATTAATTCAGCTTTACTACTGTATGTCATAATTTTACTAATATTTTGCAAATCATTCCTCCATATACACTTGGCTTAGATAATTTTAGATGTATTAGGGTAATATACAAAGGAACCAGGAAAAAAATCAAACTTATTTTTTTAAGGGCTCCAGCAGTTATTTGTAGCTGTACAAATGAAAATGACCAGATTAGATAAAGTTTTAATTCTTATATAATGAGTTATATTCTTAGATTATTTTGAACATTTCTTTTGTAATTTTTAGAGTACCATTCACATAAACATGCAAACAAGTAAATTACTGGCGAAACAGATACTGAACAGTGTACAACGTTAATGAGACAATCTCCTTACAGGTGAAGGGAGGATTGGAAGCAACAGAATT